GTTTGCTGCTGTTCAGCTCAGGAACTTTTATCCTCACATTACCTATCTAAAAATATAAAGATTAAGGTACACAAAACTATAATGTATCTCTTTCTTCTATGGTGTGAAATATGACCCCTCTCTCTCTCTCGTTCTATACGTGAGGAACATAATTTGAGGGTCACGATAACTGTCTTCTGGGTTGTTGCACCGTGTATAGTCTCGCCACGTTTCAGAGATGAGATGATCGCCCTGATTATGGAGGTAACAAGCATCTCTGAGGTGTCGGGAAACTTCTACCAGACTACAAACCAGGAGACAGCCAGCTTCATACTTTATAGAACACAAAGGATAATAACCATGCTCACAAAAGCCCGACACTGGTCCCTATCCTAAGCCAGATGAATTTAATCTAAGCCTCTCAAAACCTATTTCCTCAAGATTCGTTTTAATATTATCATCCCATGTACGCCTAGCGGTCTCTTTCCTTCAGGCTTTTTAATAAAAATTGTGTGAGCATTTGTCATATCCCCTATCACTACGCAATCACCTTTCATAATCACGTAAGTCTCTCGTTCCATCATAAACGAAAACTGCGTTATCGTAGATTTAATGACGGCAGTGTTAATCCTACAAAAATTTTAACAGTTAATTAAGCGAGCTAATGAGATGACCACTAACGGGTTTGGCATTTATCATACCAAAGAAAATATCAGAACAACAAAATTGCAAATGCTGCCAGATACTACAGCTTTTTCTCTCCTATGTACGATCGTCTACTACAATATTTTTACAAAAGCAATTGATTTACAGGTGTTCTTTTTTTTATTATTCTTTTAACAGCCTGCGTGCATTCTCTAGTACGAAAAACAAGTAATTACTGCTTCAAACACACAGATGAATCGCTCTGTCCTTTTCGGCGTTACAGAGCGGATAGAAAGGCGGACCGAAACAAAGTTAAATTGACGAGAGACCGAATTCGTTCAATTATTCCACTTTTTTTATACATTTTCATTAGTTCTGGGGTGAAGTACAATTCGTTCGCTGCTTCTCTCATAGATGGCAGGTTCTGTCCGTGTGCCGCCACACACCAGCGAGTTGAATCCTGAGCGGCAAAATGTGTCTTGAATGACGAAAGACGAGAAGCTAAACGAAACGCAGGACCGTCGTGAGTTCCATCTATTAACTACATCACACAACTACAAAGGTTTTTGACTAAGGCGTATCACTGAACTGATTACGTTGCATAGTTTCACGTGATGACAGACGCAGAGCCAGCTCCCGAAACGTCGTTTTAAACTAAAACGTGAGAAAATATCCACGAACATCGCTACAATTACATTACTTTAAGATCTTCATTATCAATAATGATCCTGCATCGTAAGTGGGCTGTACTGGCAACGTTTAAGAGGGCCATACTGCCTCCACCATCAGGGTTTCAGATTAAGCCCTGATCAGTACTGAAACGAATGAGGGTACGGCAGGAACAAAACTAAATATTGCACCCTCTTCAGGAGGCTAACGGAAATGATATAATAATATTAAAATGTATATATGGAGAAATAATTATATAACGAGGAACTTCGTAATTGTACTTTCGTCGAAAATGTTACGGTGATCAAATAAAGTAGGATGAGATGGGCTTGACATGTAGCATGCATAATAAAGATGAAAAATGTGCTAAAGATTTTAGCTGAAGAATCCCAAGGGAAGAGCTCTACTAAAATCTTATTACGACGGAATTTCAGAGAAGACCACAAATCACAAAGATGCTGATTATGTATGCATTTCCATTCCCCTTCCCCCCAGTTGCTTCCCACCCTCACATCAAAATTTTTTTAAAAAAAGTACAACAGACAGCTAAGAATGCAATGAGGTAACGACTTACCCTCCTTCTGTCGTACGAGGATAGAGGCGTCTGAAGCCGAGCTGGTGAAGTAGCCGGCGCCGTCGTCGTCCCAAAACAACTGATCCTGTCGGTCCTGAAGGACTTCGGCCCATTCAAGCCAGGACGGATCAAAACACGACTCATACAGATCCAGCAGTCCTCTGATCACAAATGCGTAGTCGTCCAAAAATCCCTGTATTGGTGATAAGCTGCGGGAACAAAAATTCTTATATTCAGCTATCCAGTACGCGGCGCTTCTGGGAATTATGCACGGCTGCAAAAAATTACTTTCTAGAAGAAACAGTTCATAAAATAAATATAACACTCACATTTGTGCGACGTCGCCATCCGTGCCCCTGTAACAACTTCTCAGCAATGTTTCAGCTGTTGGATTATACAGGTGTTTCTTTACGAAGTTGGCAGCGGTGACTGCCCTCTGAATATAGCCGTCGTCCTGCAGCGCTTGGCCGGCCTTCGCAAATCCTGTTATCATCAGACCTACAAAGCCAAACATCGATTAATTTATTAAATATTATAACAACAACAACGATGATTATGGTAACAGTCAGAGAGTCCAAATACATTGTATTTTGAAAGAAAAAAAATTAAAAAAATACATAAACCTGGGGGGGAAATGTTTTGTAGGTTGCAACTACAGTCTTACGCCCAGCTTCAGAACTCCGTACCATTCCATGCTGTTACCATCTTGTCGTCAAGATGCGGTCTTGGCCTTTTCTGACGGGCCTCATACAAGATTTCTCTGCCTTCCTTCAGAGCCGCATGCACTGTTGCCACATCCAGTTTCAACTTCTCTGCCGTCTCCTCCTCACTCCCCACCACTATCAATACATTCTGGTTCTTCAGTTCATCGTGTGGGTCCTGCAAAGACGATCCTTCATTTTTAACGACGCCTGGCTAGCTAACGTTGGCTAACGTATGCTGTATGGAGTACCAGTGAACCACAAAGTAAGACAACAAACATTTTATTTTTCAAAGTGTTAGCCCTGCTAACACGTCTAAAATATATATTCTGCCCCTAGTACATTTATGCTTTGCCGATAAAATAAAGGTGAAAAAAATATATGGTTTTATTCCTTACCTGGAAAGGGTTAACGTTCCCTTGGGGCTTCACGTCATAATGTGTACAAAAGACAGTGGCCAGACAGTGCCCACTAGTGGCATCTATAGGCTTACTAAGTAGACTCTGAATTTCATTATATGTCCAGACACAGAAGGCTCCCTCTTTCTTACGCGAAGCGCCATGACTGGGGTAAGAGTCAGCATCTTCCGCGCTATAGAAACCTCCGCTCTAAGGAACACGAAAATCACATGAATAAGTAACAGTTCTTCTGTAAAACTTGCCCTCTAGATACAATTAATACGTAAGGACACGCTATTTCTCTCTTTAAGGATAATTATTTTATTATCCCTGTGAAAACTTCTACTTAAAAATCATAATTATTTTCTCACACGCAATAATCAGTAACTCGTAACAGACATCCAAATACGATTATTAAAACATGACAAAATTAATCCTACAGAGCAAAAATTTCGAGACATCAAAAAGTCACCCAAGTGGTTAAGAAATTTCCTATCTTTCCGAAGCCTGAAGACTCGCACGAGCACAAAAAACCTACTTTAAAAAAACTGAGTCTAATCAACACCCACACATTCTATTTCTTTCATTCTCCCATCTAAATCCCAGGTTTTCAAAATTGTCTCTTTCATTCAGGTTTCTTGACTAAAACTTTGGATGCACTTTTTAACTCCCCCAATCTACATGTCCTGCCCACATGCTACAACTCATATGTCCTAAGTTTACCTTGTCGCTCAAGTCCCTGTCGACATATGTCAGTATATCCCTCACAACATCTGCATAAAAAGGGTCCTTGGTAGCGACATATGCGGCTGAATATACCGCGGCCAACTGAGCCTGGTCATATAACATTTTCTCAAAATGGGGTACATGCCATCGATCATCTGTGGAATATCTCGCAAACCCCTGCAAACAAATACAGTAAAAAAAAATCAGCTACCCTTCCAGATAGTCTTCTCTTCAGGTTTTCATATTAAATTTTGCATGCACTTTTCATTTCTCCAATGCTTGCTGCATTTCCATTTCCAAAACTTTATTTTCAAACTCCCCTAATCGTGTTATTTCCCTTCGAGTTAGAGACCAAGCTTCACACCCATACAAAAGAACAGATAAGATTATAATTTTAGGTTTCCAGAAAGGGGACATGAAGATAAAAATTTCTAAACTGAATTACTGTGATAAAAGATGAATTTCTTGAGGAGTAACATACAGCAAGCAGGAAGAGGAAAATATTATAATTTTCACCAGAAATGGCCGAAGAAAAACACAAAAAAGTCCCACTTTGGACGCGCAGCCTTGAAAACCATGAGAAATTTATTTTAATCTAACCTGAGAAACATGGTCATGAATTCCTCCTTTAGCCATCATCTTCAGGGTGTGAAGACACATTTCAAGGGCTTGTTTCCCTGTTTCAGAAGAAGGTTCCCGAGAATAAGCATGAAACAAGAAATTTAAGTTGACAGGTTGAGGAAACTTTGGTGCCTCTCCAAATCCGCCATGCTGCGGTTCGTAACTGCGTGTTAACTGCTGAATGCATGTCTTCCAACACGCTTCACCAGGGACTTCCACATTCGTCCCTGATGACGCTGCATCCAATATAGATGTCCTTCGCATTATTTCCACGATCATTGCACCAGACTCTGAGAATTTCTGCCGACTATCTTTCCACTAAACATATAAACATTTCAAAATAGAATATAATCTGTTGAACAACCATTCTACAATCAATAAAAATTTAAGGTTACAGTTCATTTTTTTACTGAGATAACTTATTTGTATCAATCACTCGGTCTTTGTTTCAGTAAATCAGATAATAAATCTTTCAGCTAATAAAACAAAAGTTCTATAAAAAAAATTAAAAAGATTACCTATAACCTTCTTTTATCATGAACAGCTGTGTTACTTCACTTCATGAACATCGAAAGATAATGCAGACAAAATACCTGAGATGCTATGATGGAAAGAAGAGATTTGAAGCCTGGCTGACCATAGTAAGTATCAGCTGGAGGAAAATATGTACCACCATACACCGGCGTGAGCTCTGGCGTAAGCCACACGCTCATCGGCCACCCTCCTCCACCAGATGTGGCCTAGAAACACAGTCCCAACTGAACCCTATTGTATACAACACAAATAAAACGTCACCTGCTGGGAAACATGGAGCAGGAGAGTAAGAAATCCAGGTTGCGGCCATCTGTCTGCTGGAGGGAAGTAAGTTCCTCCAGCAATGGGTTGAAGGTCCGGAGTCAGGAATACACTCATCGGCCAGCCGCCACGCCCGGACGTAGCCTGGTGGAGAATGATCCTACTATGCCGTTACTGCAGCCACATTGAAAAATTCAAACTTTCTGCAAAACCATCTTTTGATATGCGAAACAAGATTCACGTATATCGCATTCCCACCACACAGCCTCTTTCCAAAATACACACACTGCGAATTATATTAAAGTATATTGCACATCCCACGTCACTAAACAGCTGGCTGACAATCTGCCGAGTAACCTAACCTAACCTAACCAAGGTATCTGAGATTCCCAATCCCAATCACTTCCATGCACAGGAACGCATTTAGTAGCCATTACTGTTGTTAAATTTTAACCAAATTTTATTATGGATGGATGCACACATAACAAAGCTAATACGCACATTTGGAACTTTTAGTTGTGAATGTACGTAAAATATTTGTATAAATTATAAATGTTTCTATAATCTCCTACCAAATTAAATTTCATATGTCTAATTATAACGTATCATACGGTACTACAAAAAACAGACCACAAAATGCACAGTTTCGATTCACCACGCCATTATTTTCTGTTTCTATCATTCTTAATAATGTTAAAGGAAATAATTTGTTTACGCCAAGGATCATAAGAAAAACAGGTACTTGTGGGTTATCGGGACACATCGCTTTAAAAATAGGTTAGGTTAGGTTAGGTTAATGTGTGTGGATAAATGACATATACTTGGAAGTTATTATATTTTATTTCAATAAATGACAACTAACCTAACCTAAGCCAACCTATTTTTAAAGCGATGTGTCCCGATAACCCACAAGTACCGGAAAACATAAATAAAAAATGCAGACTCATTAATTATTAAAGCATGTGAGACACGCAGTCATCACTAGGCTATAAAAGATTAAACAAAATGATATTAATTTCCAATACTTTTTGGAAATGCCAAAATACATAAAAAAACCAATTCCATGCATTTTTCAGATTATCTGTGCCGGTCCCCCCCCCCCCAATTACCACTCATAGCTGAGAATTTACTGTATTTGCTTTACACATTCAAAACTCAGATATTCTTACTCTTTTCTTTTTACAATGGCAGAATTTCTCAAAAAGAAAAATTTATTATAGGAAAAATATAATTGAAAGAATAATAGTGACCACATTTTACAGCATGATTTTTAGCATCACAAAACTGTTGTATGCTTTCTAAAAGAGCTAATAAAACAAACAGTTTGGGAAATTTAAGCCACTTAATCACCTGAACAAACGTCATGTACATCTTGTCTACATCTGGCCTCTCCTCACGGTCCACTTTAATATTAACAAAATTTTCATTCATCGCTTTGGCTATATCTTCACTTTCAAAACATTCTCTTTCCATCACATGACACCAGTGACATGTTGAATATCCGACAGACAGAAAAATTAGCTTGTCGTCTATTTTAGCCTTTTCAAATGCTTCTTCGCCCCATGGGTACCTTAAAAATCAGAGAAGTACAATAAGAAACTTAACACAAAGTGACAGCCATCTGGGATACTGTGAAGCTTAATTTAATCTATGAAATGGTATGACATAGAATTAATATGGGTAACAGTCGCAATATTCTCCGTATTTGAACATGTGTGCTTTTTACTGACAGGAAAACAAAAAGCTGAAGATTTATAAATAATCCACACACTTTACAAACTGAAATTCAGAATCAAAGGAAATGAACTTCAATAAGTGTAAAAGAATTTCTTATACCACTGGGAAATATGTGATTTTGTATGATTCACTTTCAGTAGAACAATTTTAAAACATGGATAGGTCTTCATTTAGAACCTGCACTAGAAGTACATTTTCAGTATTTCAAAAGATGCAACATAACTAAGAAGACCACGGTGTTTCTGTTGAGATGTGGTACACATAAAAGTTTTAAACTGCTTGTACCAGTCAACAGGGTTGCCAGCATGTTGTAGTAAATATGGAGACTTTTCATAAGCCAAACGGTTTTGATGTTTTGGTGGTGTGCTCACATCCCCTCCTGTTGCCATGGTTGTGTAGCTTAGCCTGTCAAGCAAAAGGAATCAATTAGCCTGCAATTACTTTATTAAAAGAAGTACATGTGGACTACATTGTAAGCAAGTCTCTATCTCTCGTATTCAAACACATTAAAACAGAACATAAATTAAATATCTATCTAATAAAATATGAACACTTGAAGAGAGTGAAATTGACAGATGTATTACACAGAACCTCTTAAAAACTGCACTTAACTGCACACTGAAAACATCTCATTCTGTTTCTTACTTAGATTAGACCTCTGTTTAGGTTATACCAATTACAATAATTTGTAATTTTATGTTTTAAGATTACTTGAAATCTTTCGATTTGTACCTCAAATTTCAATCTAAATCAGATACTTCCATTTTCGCACCATAATTCTAAAATTTCAGTCACCAGGTCCTCTAATATCAAACGCAAAAGCACTATTACTTTGCAATATATACTCAACTAGCAACAAAGAGACACTGCAAGGAAAAACTTTATACAGCTGACCATGCAAGTCATTCTATTTAATATGAATGCCATGAAATTTCAGTTCACGAACAGCTTTAGTTTAAATTACGACACGACTCTAACCTCTTAATATGAAACAGCTGTTTCTTGTCGTCACTTATTCGTCTTATGAACAAGAAGGAATCGTCTAGACAACAAAAACCTGTAATTCTTTTAGCCACGCATGATACTAGAGGCAATGACTGCAATCGTCTAAGAATCATAACATAAAAACTTGTATTTTTGCAACTTTAAATTAATTTTTCATACGTGGGCAGTCATTGCGGTAAATATACAGTACTATTGCGTAATGATGAATGTGACGTTAGTGCCACACATTATACCAACATAGGTTAGTGCTTCCTAGTAGTACAACAGTAATAAATCCTCAGTATAAATATCGCAAACCTTCTTTCAAAACCGAAATATGGGTTTCAAAACTAATTTTTATCTTTCCGAGCTTTCAAAGAAATAGGTGAAAGCAATATCACAATATAAAAGTGCATTATATTTCCCCACCAATGTGATACGACACAACACATTAAATAAACAATGTTGGGAACACCGTAATTCTGACCAGTAATATGTCAATATGAAACTGAAAGTATGCACTAATTTGTTTAAATATTTTCACACACAAGACAGTATTAGGTCTTTAACCAAAGTGTAAGATTTGGGAGTAACCTTTTTGAATGCAAAGTCATACAGTATTTGATGTTATTCAGTGTAACTGATATGAAATCACCCTTATACTTATTGTAAAAGGTTATCAATTTTGAGTGTAATTTTAATTTTTGTATATATGTCTCAAAGAATTTCTTAAAAAGGTTCACAACGTTAATTTGTAGGGCTGAACAATTTTACATGCTATAACTTATTACATGGAAAATTTTAATTTACTTATGGTCCTACTTGATGGACTTTGAAAACCAAACTTCTTAAAAGGAAAAACTTTCTCAGAATCTTAAATGGTTATAGCACTGTGTAGTCTGGTAGAAGTTTATCATTGTTTCAGAGGTCCTTGCTGCCTCCATTATCAGGGTGATAACCACATAACACACTTCAACCTAGAAGACAGTGATCTTTATACTCACCCACTACCACGAAAACCTCAAATCGTAATACAGCACATTTGAAGTTACAGATTCATTCCTTTTCCCTTTGCTGATGACGAGTTTGATACATCAGATGGGTGTCTTTATTTATATTAAAAAACTGCTTTAAACTGTTTTTTTTCCATGGAAAATGTGCATGCTTTGCATTATTTACATATCTGTCCAGATGAGCTCAGTGTAGGACTAGGGCAGGACTGTTCAAAAACATCATTCAGAGGAATAACTCTATATTTATTATAAAGATTTACTTAATTTAGGTGAGATTATAGATTCTCAGAGGCAAGAATGAAGATGGCTGTCTTCTCG